CTGGAAAGTCCAGCTGGGGTAAAGGTGCTCCAGCCAGAATTTGCTGCCCTGTGCCTACCCCAACCCAGTGGGAGCAGAATTAAGCAAGGACCATGGCGTTGCTGTGAAGGGAGATGAGGTGTGATGCAAGGCTATGCTGCAAGGCTATGCTGTCAGCCCTGCTGAAAGATCACTGACTTTTTTTCCTCTGCCCTCCCCATCCCCCTTTCCTCTTGTGTTGTGTCTTTTTAAATTGCAAACCTGTGGGCAAGGACTATCCTGTTTTTATTGATTGTTTGTAAATAAAAGTAAAATAACTGAAAAGATGAGGCAACTGCATTTTTCGAAACTTAAGCCTTTGTTTTAGTTTTTATTTTAGATATTTGCATTTGAAAGCACAGTTGGACAGACAACATTTTTGTACAAACGTCATGTTTTTGGTATAATACAATATATTAATATATATTTCTGCAACACTTTGCTTCGTCTGATAATTCTGCCCACCACCCTTCCAACTCCAAGGTCTCATAAAGAAAGAATACAGCTAAGGCACATTTTGTTCCACCTAACAGAAAGACAAGGCAAGTACAAAAAAGATTAGTGCAATATTTAAGACAAATAGTGGGGTTATTGGTGAGTGCTGGACTTGAGACTGGAAGCATGGGAGCTGCCCCCTCACATAGCTATGGCCCAATCATTTTGTTGTCACTTAACCTACCTTGCAGGGTTGTTGCGGGGACAAAATGTTGAGGGGAAACCCCTTGAAGAAGGAGCTGGATTAAAATGTGTTATACAGAGGTAAATGCCAAAGAGCATGTTTTACTATAAGAAAAGCATTTGAACTGCATTCTTTTGAGATCATTACCAGTCAATTTAAGGTATTTTTAGACACCTCATGAAATACTCATTTAAATAAATATCAAAATATTGGCATCCTTTTGTTTGGATGCTGCTTTGATTCTCCACCACCCCCTCCACAAAACAAACCCTTTACTGGATATGAGGTTTGCTTGTTTTCCTAATTGCTTACAAAATATTTCAGTATATTATTATGCATATAATGATGTGTAACCAAGTAGGTATTTTAATTCTCATTTCCCAAACAACCAAAACAAACTGGGAACAAAAGTAATTTGCTTGTAAAAAAATGTTTGCCAGAATAATTATCATCACCATAGTAAAAGTCACATAGAACGAACAGAGCGCTGTGAGAATTCAGAGTATTTATTTCAGGGACTGCATTGTTCTGTTTAGAAATTCCCCCCTTTCTTGCTGTCTTGGTGTGAATCAGCCCCAGAAAAGCGAAACACCAGGGAAGCCTATAGTTCAGCTCCACAAATCTGAGCCCTGGCACCGTTTGCATAATTTGCAAAATCATTTAGTAAGCTACAAATGACACATTCGACAAAGTCTATTGGTATTTTTTTAAGCAATGGTGCATTTTTTTAAATAGGTTTTATTTTTGCAATGCCTCAGAGGCCCACAAGGGGCCGAGCATTTCTCAACACCACGATGAACACTGTCCAAAAGTGGGGACTGTAATTTCATTTGTACCTGCTGGTGACGGTGCATCTCTGACCCACCACCAAAGCATCTTCTGCCCTTGAGGGCTGCTCTTTTCCAGGATTGCCGGAATCATCGACAGTGGCAACTGGCCCCTTACTCCCCTGCTCTGGTCCTGAGGAAAACCCCTCATTTGCAAACGCAAGCTCCCCCAAAGGGATTTCCCCTCGAGCCTGCAAGCTTCCCCCTCCTTACTTGCTGGAATCCCCCTAATTATTGTGTGATTTACATTTTTAAAAAGCTGCACAGGAAAGATGAATTTCACATCTCATTCCACCCCCAGTTGATAGCAGAACCCGTCTGAGATGCAAAGCATATAATATTATTACATTAGGATAGCTGAGGAAGCACTCTTGATGGGCTGAATGAGGATGATGATGGTACTGGAATGTAAATGACATCGTCAGAACTGAGGTCACAGAAACCTACTGCAACTCTCCAAGACTGAATGCTTTCATAAGCCATTTCCAAACTAAATAATGTGTAGGAAGAATGAATTCGAGGGACAGGATCCGAACGGAAGCTTTCCTACCAGCCCATGTGCCTTCAGTCTCTCTGTGTACAAACTATCAGCCCAAACCAGGGTTCTATCAGCCCTGCAGGGTTCCTGATCATGGGGCCCGAAGCTTTGCGTGTGCACAAAATCAGTCCCAGTTTAAAAATCAAAGATGTTAAGAATGCAAACAAGGGCCTTTGAAGTTGCCCATGAGCAAAGCCTGGACCGCAAAGTTGCAGGTGTATTTAAGGGGGTTGGAGAAGACCACAACAGACTAGAATGGGTTTGAATATCAGTGAATCCCGACCTTGCAGGCGCTGCTATTTTTTCTCGGTCACACTGACTTGCCGAGTGGTTTTTCACTTTCGGGGCAGATTTGTGCTAGTTTGCATGAGTGTTGCATGAGTGCAGACAGAAGGAAATTCTGGCAACACGTGTAACATGATTCAGCCGATGAGCAGAGGCTGGAACACACAGGGCCCGGCAACCCATGAAACACCGATGGAATGGATTCCGCAAACTCCGGACAGCCCTACACAAAGCTGGCTTCACTTTTCCTTAGGATGCATTTCTATTTCAGTGATAGCAATAATTTCAACATTTGCATCACTTGAAATTAAGTAACCCGTGCAAATCTTGTGCAAATGTGCAACGCGTGCCTGTTTTTGGGAATTCGTGACCGGTGGGGTGTAAATGGGGGGCAGGGCCTGCCAGCTCTAGGCTCAGGTACCACCCTCACATCACGGAGCAGCATCCACTGGAATAAAATATTCCTCCAATGAGAGCAGCTGGGCCTCTTTAATGCTAATGGGAGCCCCTCTTTTAATTTCGCACCATGTCTCCAGTGAGGCATCACCTGAGGAACTGGGGAAGTAAGGCTGGGACTTCTGGGACAGCAGGTGTGATGAGGACAGGTAATGGTGGTGAGCCCCAGCAGGGTTCTGGGGTACCTGCTTGGGGATGAGTTTCACAGGTGTAGTCTAAGGACTGGTCCACCTGTATGGTCAGCCCTCTTCCCAGTGCAAATCCATGGCATTCAGGGCCAGCTCCCTGGGTAGGCATGGCTGGGCATTTGCTGAGGGGCCCTCCTCAGCGGGGACCCCCAGTGACCACCACTGGGGATTGGTCCTCCTCTGTACCTCGAAAACCTGCATGTTCACTGGTCTCTCACACCGGCCGAGGCAGCAGCCGTGGGGAGGTGGAGGACAGGGAAATGCCTGGGCCCCCAGCTCTCTGCCTGGCAAGTGGGAGCCACAAGGAGAAAGAGGAGCCAGAGCAGCCGGCGAGCGTGGTGGGAGAAGGAAGGCGCCGTGAGGAGGGGGCCCAGCGAGTGTGTCGTCTCCAGTGACCCTCCAAGACCGATGCACTCCAAACACACGGGCTGCATCCAACTGGCGACAGGCGATCGCGTACGCCCCAGTCATCTCGGTGGTCCCGTGAGAAGCAGGACTTGCGCCGGATGCAGCGCTCCGGCTGCTCCGCGGGTGGTCTGGTGCCGCGAGTGTCCAAGGCGAGGCCCTGCCAGACCTGGGTTGAAAGGAAGAGGCCTGCTTCCTGCAAGTGTCCTTTCTTCTCAACTTGGCATGATGCCTGAATGGGGCTCCCCTCTCAGAAGGGCTCTGGAACAGGTTTTCGTAGGCATGAAAATCCAGGAGCAAAGCTTTGGACTTGTGTACTCCAGGCTGCAGCCAGGATCTGCCTCTTTTGGCAGGAAGTGCTCTGCATCCAGAACGTCCCCAGAATTTTGGAGAAGCACCACTGCCCCCGGCTTCCCCCAATCGGCAGGGTCACCGGACCCTCAGTGTACTGTGCTCAGCGTGCTGAAGGGGCTGCCGTGGGAAGGAGCAGCGGGGAGCCCACCTCCACCCCACAGCTGATCTGGTGCAGATCTGGATTCAAGCTCCCCTTTGCAAACTCCGCAACCTTTGCTGCTTGTCTCTTCACGATGGGAATAATCGCAATTTTGGGCTAGTGCTGGAGAATTCTCAACATGTTGCGGAACAAGAAGCCCCTTTTGCAAAGGGACCTGGCCTATGATTATTTCTTCAAAAAGATAAAATTACACCACCGCCCTCCCTATCTCTCTCGGGCTTGTGTAAAAAGAAAAAGAAAAAACAAACCTTGGTTCAGCATTTTTGCAAAGAGTGAAAGGTGAGGATCATGCAGCAGCGGAAGAGAGAAAAATGAAACCAAACAATCAGCCGCAGAGGTCTCAAGGTGCCTTTGTTGTTTAATACGTCGACAATAGTCCAGAGAGAAAGAACATACAACAGCTAAAACTTTCAAACACAGTTTTTTAAGGCCATATTTAAAAAAAGATGAAGAAACTTAAGGCTTCTCTAAAAGGGGCAACTCATAGGATGCCATGGCATGAACACTGAGTTGGAAATAGTCCAGATAAACCGATTTACCCATAGGGAAATCTTGCAGCCGACAGCCTAAATCACACGTTTTTAAGGAGGTGGTGCTGTAGTTCTGGTTGTCACTGGTGAATGGCAACCCAGGTCAAAACCGAGCACACGAATCCCTCATCCGGCACATTCCCAGCAAAACTGAAGGTGCTGTTCTTACAAGCGACATGGTCACCTTTTCCCAACCAAGGGTGATTCAAATCACAAACGGAATCAAAGACAAGTCATTTATAATATACAAATGCAGCACAATGAATTGTGCCGGGGATTTAACCGCTCTGCTATCAGAGACACCTGTACAGTATCTTGCTGTTTATTTGGCAAGGTCACAACTTTAATACTTATATGTTTTAAAGTTTCTTTCTTCGTCTTTTTTTTTAATTACAGAGAGAGAGAGAGAGAGAGAGAGAGAGAGAGAGAGAGAGA